AGGCTTTAATTTTATAAAACGTCTGATCCCTATTAATAAAACATGGCCTAAAGGGAAAGAAATAGAATTAGGTGTTGAGTATACAACACCAGATATTGCTTATACGGTAATAGGAATAAAAACTCCAATATTTTACAAACAAGGTTTCTTAAAAGAAATAAATGGTATTATTTCTAATGAAAATAGTAAAACAGAATTAAAAGGAAATTATTCAATTGAACATTTAAATAGTTTATTCAATTCGATTATGAAGTTTGAAAATAATGGTGATTACATTAAAATAACAACAAAAGATTATTTTTCATTTGATAAAGATTTAAATTTAAGTTTAGGAGGGATGGAGAAAATTCATCATTAAATAATAACAACAAAATATTAGAAGTACATTGTAATATAATTGAAGAATCTATTACACATAATATTGATGAGGTATCTCATTATGATGAAGTTTTATTTTTATTTCAATATAATTCTAATAGTGCTTTGATTAAACCTCATAAAATGATATATAGACCAGTTAGTAAAAATCGGTTTCAAAAAATAGAAATTTATATTTTAGATTTGAAAGGTAATATTGTTAATTTTGATGAAGAATTTATTGGTGTTCTTGATCTAATAAAAAAATAAATATTAAAAACTTTTTTTTCAAGATAAAATATCTTGAAAAATTAAAGTAGGGAACGATTTTTTAATTAATTTTAATATATTTAATAACTTTCATCAACTATTCCTCTTTCAATATCAAACGTATACACTGCACTAGAAATTAAACAAATATAACAAATTGTTTTATCAGGTAAATTTTGACTGAAATCTAAGTTTAAAATTACTGTACAGTTGGAGATTGCAATTTGATTAGGGTGTCTAGTCATGTTAACAACAAAAAATGGTCTCTTTTGTCTAAATTGTAATTTATCTAAATACATTAATGGATTTTCTTCATGTGATTTATAATAGGTTTTTTTATAACTCATATGATCTTCATATGATTGACAACATTTTATATCATTAATATCTTGATTTTGTAATTCATTAGGATATTTTTTTCCATTTACTTCAAAAGAATAATTTACAACATCACAATGATCAAAATAACAAGCATTACTTTCTTGATTGTCTAATCTGTTTTTTTGAAAATAAACAACACCAAACAATGGATGTCTATTATTTCGATAATTATTTGTTAAATTAAATCTTATCTTTTTTCCAGTAAGATTTCTTACTTCAATATTTTGCCATTTTTTAAAAGCTAAAATACATGGATTCTTAATTAATGCATCAACTATTTGAATTTTTGTTATTTCATCATATTCTATATTTTGCATTTGAACTTTTAATTCTAAAATATTAATTTTACCACGTTTTGCTTTAATATTTTTTGTATCTGCTGTAGCTTCAGTGTTTGTTTCTAGAATCAACGCATCATCATCAGTGTTTCTCGTAAAAATTATTTCAAATCTAGCATTGTAAAGAGGACTTTTTATATCTTTCATTGATCCTAAACCAAAGTGTGATAAAGGAATGATGAGCTCGACACTTCCTCCCCCTTGAGATGTAGATTCAAATCCTGAATTTTGTGTAGGACCATTTCCATCAACAGCATAACTCATATAACCTTTCAGTGGCGTATTTACGGGGGGGGTCCAGGGGTACTGGACCCCCCCCAGAATCTCACCAAAAAAAAAAAAAAATTCTTACATATTTGCAGACCCCGATTTATGTAAGCACGCGCGGACATGGTTTTTTCCCGTGAACAAAATATTTATATGAAATATAGTTTAAAATTAGTCAACAGTTGAACGATCAAAAACCCGCCGCCACGCGTAATTAAACTTTTCCTTGTATTATAAATACCCGTATTAGATAAACATCAATAATTCTCGAAACAGTCAAAACATTCTTATCGCCAGGAATTGACGACTCACATCATTCTCCAATAAACTATTTCTATAGGACAATATAGATAGCTATTATTAATCTTTTTGAATTTTTGCTTTGTAAACAAGGAAATTGTCGTAGAACCATTTACTTCATGTTTGTATTTCGTTACTGAACGACGGCGTCGGCTACGAGTGCGAACTGCTTTACATTTTTTCAAAAAAATATAATAGATCTATTACGTAAGTACCAATTAATTATAATATAATAAATTAGTAAATAATAATAATAGCTCATTGATCTGATGTGAGCCGTAAGGAATTTATTATTTTTAATAATAACATAAAACATTAATGTAATTTTTGGAGTCAACTGGTCGACAATATTAGTATTCATTTAGAACCATGTTTACCTACGTAATATATTTTATTTTCTGTCCAGAGATAAGCAGAGTGATATGGGCGACTGTTGTCATAATGTCATATTTCTATAATTTAAACCTATTTTTACGTTGTAACACGAAGTTGACAACATATTATTAAACTGCTATCGAAATAATATTAATTGTCAACGTGTACTGAGAATAATATTATTGATATAGGTACGACTATCGGAGCTACGGTATGCCTCGTAATATTCGTTTAACCTATATTATATACTGAACTTTTATAATATACAAAATCATATTATTTTTTCTTTAAAAATCTATCTGTACCCTGTGTCTCTGTGATGTGTATCGGTTCATAAATGTCTCTGATATAAAATGCATAGGTATTACATAGAATCGTCTTGCAAATCGTCGAATGCAATGATTTTTTTTTTAATAACCTTTTGTTTAAAATTAGTTAATATAGAATACCTATTTATTTTTAAATACAAGGGTGTCTCATTTGTGATAGGTGTGAATACAGATTTGACAAAACCTAACATTTAATAATTATTTAATAAATACTATAAAATTTATTTTTTATTTTTTTTATAGCTGTATATTTGCATCTATTTATTGTTTGGTAATTGGAATTGGAATAAATATGTCTTCCAATAAAAAAATAAAACAAAGTTCATTGAAATCATTTATAATTGCACCAGTCGCGTGTCCATCAGATCAAACAGTCGAATTCCAACATTACAAATTCTTGAACCACATACAACAAAAAAACGTTCTTTATCGCCCAATATTGATGAATCAAATACATTTTCTGATAAAAGAGTAGATGAGAATATTAATATGTATGATATAGGCATGTATACGAATCGTTTGTTAAAGCCACACGAAATTGGAGAAATTCTTCAGCAAATCTGGAAACCCGAAAACAATTTTCAATTTCCAGTAACTGTGAGTTGTAAAAAAAATTTAAGATTTCAATTTTCATGGTTGTCTAAATTTACTTGGCTAGCGTATTCCTTAAAGTTTGATGGAGCGTTTTGTAAATTTTGTGTTGCATTTGCTAATAACGAAGCAGGAACCAATTCTCAACCACTTGGTGCTTTAGTCAAAAAACCATTTCGTAATTGGAAACACGCAACTGAAACTTTTAGAAACCATTCCAGTCTACAATATCATTTAAAATGTTTATCAGACACTGATAATTACCTTAATATAAAAAAAAATCCGTCATTATCTATTGAAAACCAATTGGATTCTAGTCATGCAAAACAAGTAATGGAAAATAGAAAAAACATTATTCCAATAATAGAAGCTATACTTTTATGCGGACAGCAAAACTTGTCAATCAGAGGCCATCGTGATTCTGGTAAAATTGAAGTAGAAAATTCGGAACCCAGAGAAAATGATGGAAATTTTCGTAATATTTTAAAGTATCGAGCACTTGGTGATGCCAATTTAAAAAAATTCCTTGAAAGTCCAGGTCGTATTAAATACATTAGTCCCACTAGTCAAAATGCCATAATTGATGCTTGTAATTCTGTTTTACTTTCTAAGATTGTTAATAGAGTAAATAAAGCAAAATGCTTTACTGTTCTTGTGGACGAAACGGCTGACATAGCTGGAATTGAACAAGTTTCCATTTGTGCGCGCTATGTAAATCGTGAAACATGTACATTGCATGAAGATTTTTTACAGTTTGTTCCGACAGCTGATTTGACTGGCAAAGGATTAGCTACCTTAATACTGGACAACTTAAAACATTTTGGAATCGAAACACAGTATCTACGTGGGCAAGGTTTTGATGGAGCAGCTGCAATGTCGGGTAAATATAATGGTGTTCAATATCATATAAAACAAGCTCATCCACTAGCTGTTTATATTCATTGTTCTGCCCATTCTCTCAACCTTGCTGTCTCTTCATCATGTGGTATTCAAAGTATACGAAATTGTTTAGGAATTGTTGGAAAACTTCGGGATTTTTTTATATTTCCAAAACGTAAAGCTGTGCTTTCACTAGCTATTGAACAATCGGAAAATGTGTTATCAAAAAGATCATTAAAAAGAAGTTGTGAAACTCGGTGGATAGAGAGATATCATTCAATAAATGATTTTTTGGAACTATTCGAAAGCGTTGTAGAAGCTCTTGATATAATTTCTGAATGGAATGATACATCTGACACCTCTCATAAGGCACAAAGTTTAAGAAGTTCGATTTTACAATCAGAATATATTATATCATTGCATGTAACATCAAAAGTATTTGGATTTGGGCTACCACTGTCGAAACAATTTCAAAAGATCAATATTGATCTGAAGATGGCCATGAGTTTGGCTCAAGATACATCGGACGAACTAAATGTATTTAGGGAAAATGCTGATAGTGAGTTTCATGAAATTTTTATTAAAGCAAAAAATATTGCCAACAAATTTGAATCACCTTTAAAGATACCAAGAATATCTAATGTTCAAAAAAATAGAATGAATATTAAAACTGACGACCCCGAAAAGTACTATCGCATATCCATATTTATTCCATATATTGACTCATTTATTAATCAGCTAAAAAATAGATTTATTGACCATAAAACTATATAATGGCTTTCAATCACTTTTCGACACAAAAGGAAGTGAAGATGATTTTATAAAATTAATTGATACATACAAAGAAGAATTCAATTCACCTACATCAGTTATACTTGGAGAGTTCAAGTTATGGCAAAGAAAATTAAGTAACATGAGCGACAAGCCAAATAATGCAATTGATGCATTGAATATATGCAATAACGACATGTATCCTGGTATATTCAATTTGCTTCAAATTCTAGCAACACTCCCTGTATCGACTGCGTCAAATGAAAGAACATTTTCGAAATTAAAGTTAATAAAAACGTACTTACGTAATACTATTTCTGAAGTAAGTGTTAATATTTTATTCAGTAAAATATTATTTTTTTATTTGTGTAAGATTTATGTTTTTTTTTTCTAGAATAGACTTAATGGATTGGCTATGATGTCCATTTATAGAAAAGATTCTCTCTTACCAAAAGACATTTTAGATGAACTTTGTAAAAAAAAAAGACGCTTAGATTTTGTACTTTAAAATTATAAAATATAATAAAAAAACTATTTTTTATTCTTATAATCTATTAAAAACTATTTCTTTATATCAGTACCTACCTATCTATATTATGTTGGAATTATTGGACCACCCCCAGAAAAAAATTGAAAATACGCCACTGTAACCTTTTACTGTACTTAATCTTCCAGTATTATCACTTTCATCTATAATTTTATTATTTAATTTAATTGTAATTTTTTGAAACAAAAGTGCTCCACTATTATCAGATAACATAACATTAGATTTTGCTGGATATTTAGAACCATCTTCTTGTACATATTCAAATGATAAATAAAGTTTTGAATTTTTAATGTTCAGAAATTTATCTTTACCATCTTCTATAACTATTGTATTTCGGTTTGGTTTATTCAATTCTGTTGTAATTTGAGGTATATAACTTTCATATTGACTATTTATTATATAATTATCATATTTATTTAAAATATTTTCCATTTCTTATTTATATTACCAAATATATATTTTTTTTTTAATAAATGGATAAAGTAAAAGTAAATTTTTTTATTGAAGAAGATCTTTATTTGAATTACCTTCACGTGTTTTAATTATAGGACCATCTGGTTGTGGTAAAACAACCTTGTTGTATAATCTGATTATAAATTATTGGATTCCTTATTTAAATCTATATATTTTTACAAAAAATATTGATTAACCAGTCTATAAAAAAATAAAAAAAATATTTGATGATATAGCTTCTATAACAACACATTTTTCTAATGATGAAATAATATCTGTAGATGATTGTGAACTAAATAGTTTAGTGATTTTTGATGATTTTCTAAAAGAAAAACAAGACATGATAATTGAATATTTTATAAGATCAAGATCAAAGAATATTAGTGTTATTTATTTAACACAAAGTTATACTTCAGTAGATATAAAAACAATAAGAAATAATTTGAATGTTTTAATTGTTTTTAATCAATCAAATTATTATATTGAAAAAATATGGTCCGATTTGATTAGTGAAGATGTAGCTTTAGAAAAATTTAAAGAAATTAATAGAACTTATTGTAAAAAATATGATAAAAAAAGTAAAATAAAAACATATGGTTTCATAACAATAGACTTGATAAAAAATTTAATCTATGACAATAAAGGTAATGAGATTTTATATATCGATGAATGATTATGTTTTAATTTAATTTTTTGTATAATAAATGGATATTAAACAAATTCAAAAAGAATTAAAAAAAAAATTAAAAAAAATGTTTCATTTGAAGATCAAACACAAAACAATTCCAAGGTAGGAAATAGTTTAAAAAACACATCGGATGTAAAGATTCAGACAATAATTAATACTAAAAATAAATTACAAAATAGGTTTAAAGATGTATTATTAAAACCTAATGAAAAAGAGACTGCTATTATAGAAAAAGATGATTAAGATGAAGATAATATTAAAAAAGAAAAAAAACAATATAAATCTACAGATGTAAATAAAATAATTAATCTTAAAAAAGATTTACAGGATAGATTTAGAAATACAATTGTAAAACAAAAACATGTACTTGAAGAACAACAAAAAAAGTTTGGACCAATAATAAACGCATTAACAAATGTTAATACAACAATGAATGCAGTTAAAGATGTTGCTATTAAAACTGAAGGAGATATTCAAAAATTAAATGTACAACCTAGAAATCCAGAATTAAAACGATTAACAAGTTCAGAAGAGACTTTTGGAACTCCAAAATATTCTAGTCAAAATTCAAGAAGTAATTCTCCATTACCTAAAAATATTATAAACTTAGGTCCTATTGCGTCAAAATATTTAAAAACTGTAAAAGATACTAATTCTTTTGGAATATATCTTAATGAGAAAGATGATATTTATATGATTGGAAAAGATATAATCGATCTTGATAATGATGATATAATTTTAAATGAAAAAAGATATATAGGAACACCAGGTTTATGGAGATTATTAACTCATCAAGTTCCTACACCCAAACAATTTTATAATGATGATGAATTTAATATTTATAAAAATATATTATTTGAAACTAATTCTATATATCAAAACAATGATCCTTCAACGAAAAGAGCTAAATCAAGTCGTAGTGAAAAATATAGGGTTATGATTAGTTCGATTTGGAAAGAAATGACAGAAACAACTGATAAGAAAAAAAATAAGAAAAAGAAAGAAAATAATGAAGATAATGAAATTATTGAAAAAAAAGAAAATAATGAAATATTAGCTGATGATAATCAAATAGGGGAGGGTTTAAAGAAATACACAGAAAATCGTATTGAATATCGTTATATTAGTAATGTAAACCAAGTGATAGATAATTTACAGTTTATTTCTTCAGAAGAAAGAGCTGGAAATAATAATTTTAAAAACGAAAAACTTGGTATTGTTCATTTATTTAAATCAATTATGGAAAATCTTATTGATACTCCTGAAGGTATTGAATATTTACTAAAATATGTAACTTGTTTACCAAAGGAAGTGAAAATATCAAAAGAAAAAATAATTAAACGTATACAGTATATATCAATTGAAGAAAGTATAGGAAATAATATTTACCATGATGAAAAACTTGATATTCTTAATATTTGTATTAGAGAAATGGAAAAATTAATTGATATACCTATTATTGGTGCAGATTATTTATCATCATATGTTTCATGTTTACCCAAGAAAATTATTACAGGTTCAGGAATTGTTAATTATCTTTTGAATTGTTCAAATTTACCTGAAATACATTGGCCTGGTTATAATTATTTAGGACCGGGAACAAAGTTAGAAAAAAATAAAAAACCTAAAAACAAATTAGATGAAGCTGCGGGAGAACATGATTATTTTTATAAAGATAATAAAGATACTAAAACAAGACATATTTCTGATAAAATTTTAGAACAAAAAGCAATGGAAAGATTTTATGATCCTCATAGTTCTATAGGTGAAAAAACTGCAGCCATTTTTACAGCAAATGTAATTAATGTAAAAAGACGATTTGGAATGAATTTAATTTAATTTAATTTAATATTTTGTATTATAAAATGAATCTAAATTTAAATAAAAAACAATTTAATAAAATATTGAAAGCTCATAAAAATAATAAAGATGTATCAATTCTAATTGAAAATAATCAAATTGATAGTGGAAAACATAAATTTATTCGAATGATAAAAATTATTCGAATGATTTGGTCGATTATTCGAATAACTTGTGGCGGCGCAGCCGTCACATGATTTCTTCACGGACGACGCACAGTGTTTCTAAATCAAATTATGCCGGTCAAAAGGGTTCATTTAAAATGTCCAAATTTAGTTTCTCTAATCATGCGATTATATTCATGAGTATCTGAGGACTTATGATGTGTATTTTTGAAACCAAAATATTGATTTTACTATTACAAAATATGCAAAGAAATTGATATAATCATATGTATATTGATATACAGATTTTTTTTTTTTTTTAATTTAGTTTATATAATTTATTTTTGTACGTAATAGTTAATATTATAACATAATTGGGGTCTAATGATGCTATTGATAATCTTATAAATGTGCGATGCCTGTTAAAATATCATTATTATGGCTATTATGCCTATAACCAACATTATAATTTAATCACTAACAAAAACAGATAAACTTATCATTTAAGTATGTAAATCATGTAAGTATTTAAATTGGTGGGGGTATCATAAAGCCGGTAATTGTGGCGCTTCGGACGATTGGTGATTTACATTCGAATGTAAGTTGTCACGTGGTGCGGCCTACGTTATCACCTTGATTTCTATCTATCTCAGTCTCCAAAGGCTGACGTATATGATATCCTCCTGACCTTTAGATTCTATAAATAAACCACGGCACCCAAAACGAAACAATGCTTAGGTAAAAAAAAATATCTCTGTTGAACAGACGGCCAGTTAAAAAAAAAAAAAAATAAAAAAAAGTGAGAGGTGGCCACCATTCTGGATGTCTGTACAGCACAGATATTTTGCAAATTTTTTGTGTTTTTTTTCGATTTAAATTATTATTAACACGGTCGTATAATTTGACCTTCTTAAATATTACAAGTCCTATATTTCATTTAATATTTGATATTATCAAGTCGGAACAACACAGATATGTTCTATATGCTTATCTACACTACATATTAAAAGTTTACCCAACGCTTCATATTTTTCATTGAAGTATAAATCCGTTGCTATTTATGTTAGAATCTTCATTTTTACATTAAACATTTTTGATTTTATTTCTTTATAAGTCCCCCTCTAGTATCATAGTGTAAAATCGTTTTCAAAGATTTTTGGATTTTAATAACACGCATTAAATATTGAAACTTTTCTAATAGAACAAATCTATTAAAAAATTAAATTAATAATATAGTTATATTCTAAACATTTTGTGATCGGAATCTGTACCTCCCATGCGAAGACTACATATTTTAATATTTTTTAAATCTTGAACAACACAAATATCATGGAGATATTTGAAAAAATAAGTACCGGTTGTATTTATTAAATCATTAGCTATTTTACAAATTTCAAGCCATGTTGGTGATTCTAGTATTTTAGAAGCATAAGGCTTTCCATTTCCAGAAACATCGAGTCCATGATCGACAATTAAAGTATTTCCTTTAATTGGAATTTTATTTAGATTATATTTCATGATTTTAATATTTTTATTATTATTAGTATTAAAGTATTCATATTTACAGAACTTAACAAAGATTTCATTATTTAATATTGATTTTTCTATTTCGTTTTGCATTTCATTTTCTTGTACCTTATTAAATTTTTTTATAGTTTCCATTCTTTTATTATAAATTTCAATTCCTTTAACTCAGGTATTCAATTTCTTTTTAATACATTTTTTTGCATTTCGATTTTTATTTTTAATAGAACAATTCTATTAAAAAATATTTTAATTATTATTGCATTTCGATTTTAATTATTAATATCATAAGTATTATGAAAAATATTTTGGGGGTTTTTTGCATTTAATAA